ATGTTGAAAATAAAGTTTCGTTTTAAATTGCAGCCGCACTAAAAGCGGTAACTACAAAAAGAAGGCAAGCGTATGCGAGTTCGGTGCTGCTCCAGTGATCTCTGCTTATCTCCCGATTGCCGGTAACGGTACTTACTTGCGTTTTCATCGCGCCTGTTGTCGAAGACTACGCATTTGCGCTTTTCTTATCGTTATATTTATACAACATATCCCCGAATTACTGGATGTTCTTTTAATCACATCTAGTTCGGATAGAGTTTCCTTGGCAGAGATACCATGGATGGGCAACTATCTCTACATCGCAAATATCTTTACGAATTACAAATTCCGCTAAAGCCAACTTGAAATGAATGACAAACGTTACGCTATTAATTTATGCAATTTACGGACCGTGGTACATGTTTATTCGCTAATTATATCAACAAAGTTATCATTGTTTCCATCGATCTTGAGGCTGAAAAATGCAGGATGAAAAATATATTTAATAACTTCCGGGACAAGACATCCTGCAGTCCTTTCGCTCTCCCGTACATTGGAAACCAGTCGAACGTGGAGAACACGATTTAGCGTGATTTACAGCTATCAGAATGAATAAGTTGAGATAAGGATGCACGTATGGAATTCAGGAAAATTTCCGGCACTGATTAGATATCAATTTTATTGTATCGTTGTTCGAATACCTGTAAATACTTTGATATTTTCATATGCGAGTATTCCTGAGATTCTTTCCATCGCTGTCCGTGTCATTTTAAATTATAAAGCCCGACCTAAACCATGTCGATGGAAATTACCATCGGCAACCGGTTTTTTTGTGGACTAATGTTTTTATCGATATAACCCACTTCCTCACGCAACGCTCCTTTGGTTGTAACTTCTTCACAGAAATTATTTGGATTATGACCCTCGATAGTTCGATTGATAATATTCTATTGAATAAACCCACTTCCTCATTTAACGTTCTATCGATCATATTTGGTAAAATTATTTGAGCCATGATCGTCGATCGATATAAGTTATTAATTTATATAGAATAAGAATTATACTCATTAAATATTCTACATGTGATTCTTTATCTTCCAAATACACTGGAAAAAAAAGATTGGCTGTTGCAGCAAATATGCTATGCCATATTTTACCATCTAATTTGCTGCAGCAGTCAATCTTTTTTTTTCAGTGTAGTAATATTAATATCTCTCACTTAGGTGGTGATAGTGGGCAACGGCGCCGTGGGGAAGTCGTCGATGATTCAAAGGTTTTGCAAAGGTACATATACGAGGGACTACAAGAAGACGATCGGCGTCGACTTCCTAGAGCGTGAGATCGAGTAAGTAATCGCTCGAACGTGTCGAATCGTTTCAATTCAAAATTAAGTTGATTCAACGCAAACGCGGCATTCAGAGGAAGAGGGAAAGCCTCTTTCAATTTTCAGTTAAATTAATCGATTATTAGATTAGACATCACGATCACGCTGTAATCATGTGAGAACTAAACATAGTTTATCTAAAAAAAAAACAGAGATTCTAGACTAAAAGATACGTGCATACATTAAATTGCTGTTGGCACTTTTGCGAGTTAATTAATTTAACCAGAGGTGATGGAAGAGGCTCTTGATCCAATTATATAATTATACAGGGTGTTTGGAAAGTAATGAACAATCTTTCGCATAGAGACAGAATGGACTAAATTGAGAAGAAAAGTCCTCTACCATTTTACAATTTTCGCAATAGTTAACAAAATATTAATTACTAAAAATTGTCGAAAATTGGTCTTCAATAATTTTTTACTCAAATACTATCAACTTTACAGAAAAACTGAAAGAATAAAAAATTATTTATTTTCTTCTCATAAAGCTCTAAGAATTTTTTCAGAATTTTTTATCAACTTTTAGTACTGCATTTTCTTATTTTTACCAACATGAAAAAATACGGTATCAAAAAATTCTGAAAAAATTCTCAGACCTTATAAGAAGAAAATAAACAATTTTTGTCTCTTACAGTTTTTCTGTAAAGTTAATAGTATTTGAGTAAAAAATTATTGAAGACCAATTTTCGGCAATTTTTAGTAATTATCTTGTTAACTATTGCGAAAATTGTAAAATGGTAGAGGACTTTTTTTCTCAGTTTAGTCCATTATGCCCCTATGCGAAAAATTTTTTATTACTTTTCAAACACCCTGTGCAATTAATTTATTAATTTAAAATTTTGTTAATTCAGGGGAATTGTTTGTTCAGGAATATGGTGGACATTAAAAAATAATCAGATATACTATATAGATATAATAATGAGATATTTAGAGCAGAAAGGGATTTGTGAATATTTCACATATTTTGTCAATGTATAAATCATATGACGAATGTTAGTACAAATTAAATTCAGATATTGTTTACTGATCGGATTATTTGATGCTGATCATTATATACCGCTACATACGGGTATAACACAAGTTCGAGAGCGACGTGCCTGAGAAAAACTTGATTTTAATCGTGCCAGCGTGAGCTACCGTGGGATACTTCTTGTATCCCCTCTTGATGCCAACCTACCGATGTAATGTCGGTCAATATATTGGAAGGAATTTTATCTCTTGTATACTATTCATTCTTTATAATATCTATCTTGCGATTAGTCGTTTCTTTGCATAGCAGTTGCAACAATTTGACTCTTAACTTTTAATTTAAGGAACATATGCAGTCGCACAAATAAAATTAGAAATATAATATATAATTAGAATTAATTAGCATTAAAATTAAGATTATGAATTTTGTGATAACAGTAAAATATTCGAGAAAATTCAAAGATAAATTTTTTTCGAAGATTGTGTTTGATTAAATAGTATTATGACAAATGTAATAAGTAATGTGTAAATAAATACATGTATGTTGTGCTGACAGAGTCGATGGTGAGGATGTAAGATTGATGCTATGGGATACTGCAGGACAGGAAGAATTCGATGCGATAACCGCGGCTTATTATCGTGGTGCACATGCCTGTGTCCTCGCTTATTCAGCGACTGATAGAGATTCTTTCGATGCTATTCCTTCGTGGAAACTTAAGGTACAAATCTGTAAATTTTATTTAAAATTAGTAGAAGAATGATAATTTAATTCGCTTAAAACTTTTTATTGCTTATTAAAATAAATAAAAATTGTTTGCCAGCTTCGATTAGGAAAAATCTCTAAAGTAGTGGAAAAGCTCTATTATTAAAAAATTCAATTTTTTCTTCTCTTAGACATTCTGTATAATTTTCTTAAAACATTCTCTTATAGGTCGAGAATGAGTGTGGAGAAATACCCACAGTCCTAGTGCAAAATAAAATCGATCTTGTCGACCAAAGCGTGATTGATGCGTGAGTATGCGTTAAACCATTTCTATTGAGTTTCCTTAAAATGAAACTTGCAGGTCTGAAGTATTTGATATTACAGGGACGAAGCCGAGAGACTCGGTCGTACCTTAGGTTGCAAACTCCTGCGGACGTCTGTGAAGGAGGATATCGGCGTGATGAGCGTCTTCCGACATTTGGCATCCCGATGTTTGCACGAGATGCGTCGCTCCGACGATGACTATCAGGATGATTTGAGATTATATTCTGCGGAACCTAGATCTCCTTCTGTCATTAGTATGTAGACTCAATGATATTGCAAAAATCTATAATTTGTCTGCAGTATGAGTGAAGTTACATCTCTCCTTGTTTTACAGGTGCGTTTAGTCCGGACGGGTCAATGTGTGATCGTAACGCCAGTAATGGAACGATAATTCTTCGACCCGGTGGCAAAACGAAGAGTCATAAGAAACGAAATTTCGTAAAGAACGCTTGTAGACTGTTGTAGCAATAGTGTACGTGAGATAGCATTATATTGCGTTCCGAGTATTACACGAAAATGTCAAAGGTACGGGTGGTGTCTTGTAAATATATATAGTTTATTCTCTGAAGGCGTAAACGGACGGTGATTTACAGTGTCCGTTAGTGCAAATTTATTGTATTCTAATTAACGGCCTGCGATGGTTTCGTGCATAAGAACACAGTACGCATAACATTTGGGAAATTAATTTAAATGCAATAGAAATAATCACCATAATTATGCTCATAATGTTAACCAAATGGTTGTAGATTATAAGGTATGGAAGATTAATCGTAAAATATAAAACTATGCGTACTCGCAAAATGCAGATGGGAATAGTGATACGAATATGACGCGTAATTTGTAAATATCTCGCCATATTATCGTATGTATGTTTAATGAATTATTAATCTTTAAATTGCATTGTATTCAAGGACCAAATTATGAAATTAAGATTTTAATACTGAATGTAGCGTTAAATAAAAACGACAATAATAATTATTATTTACAGATTAGCGCGTCGATATTATTTCAAAATATAATAATTCAAGACCATCTCAACTTTATGAAATATTGAAATTCATTTTGAATTAAATTTTGAAATTAGGTGAAAATGCATTTCAACATGTATTGTGATTTAAGGCTTTTGTTTCTTTAATGTAGCTATTGAATTACGACGTCAAAAGTGAAAAAGTATATGAACTTCTTTTTTTCACATATTTCACTTCTGACGTTACAATTCAATTTGACTGTAGCGAAAATATGAGAGCCTTAAGAATAAACAAGTTGGTGCGAACTACAGTTTCCTAAAGCAATAGTATGTTACAATAAGTTACTTAATAACTAATGTTATATTTTTACTTATTTGTAATATTACAGAACACAATAAATCTCTGTACATTTTGCTAAAAGTAAAATTATCTTTGATAAGCGAAATCTTAAGAGGCGCTATAAACGAGGAACAAAAAATTTCTCAAATCATCAAAAAATCAAATTACTCTTTTGACAATAAAATAAAATAATTTAACTATTCTTGTTACATTCGAAATTAATCAGTAGCTGAATGTCTCGCAAAGTAAATACATCATGTTAGAATGAATGTAAAAAGAGGCCTATTTACTTTATAATTTACAATATAACATTTAAATAATATTTTAAATTTTACAAGTGCAGTTGTATCCTCTAGAAATTCCTCTTTATTTTAAACGTACAGATTTGAAAAATGTTACTGAATGCTTTTTCAACCCTTTTTTTATTTTTTTAAGTTACCGAAATGCCAAGTGTCTTAAAATATGCTTAGGAATTGTATAAACGCCGAGAATCGATATCGCATCACTATAAGATTAAATCCAATCAATCACATGTTGTTGCATTCTATACACAGCCAAACGTTCCATTTGAAGTAGCTATTTGCAACGTGGAAGGAAAATGGAAACTCAGCCGCGCAGAAAAGATGTAAAGAATATATCTTTCCCAATTGTCTCTTAATTCGCTACAACAGCGCTAGACCGTCGAAAAGATTTGCCATTCGAAACTTGTATGGAAATTTAAGCAAATTTAATTTGCCGAACAATCTCTCTTGGTGTTATTTACTGTGTCATCTCTAAGATGTGCATCTTATCGATATAATCGAGCAATCCTTGCAATCTTTTTTTGACTCGCTTTTGATCGTCTAATGTGCATCCAAGAATAGCGGTCTCGAAGATCTTATCGGAATGTCCTATACTATGGGAAGAACATGCGTTCATAAATTCTGCACATCGCTGTCGAGTGCCATTTGGGTCTTGTCGCAAGCCTACGACCAAGCTGTCAATCAGACCATTAACCTAGATTAAAATAACATTTAATTAGTTATTGAATTCTAAAATTATACCTTTGTAAGATATTGTAAGTGAATCTCAAACCTGATGTAATGCTTCCTGTTGAACATGATCTCGTTGGACTGTGACTAATACATCTACAGTGGAACAGCGCATGGACAATCTATCTGCATACCTCAAGATATCATCTCTATCAGCTGGATAAAACAGATAATAAATTTTTTTAATATCACTTCAAAGAAAATTGTTAATGTTTAAGTTGGAGGACATAGATGTTGAAATAAAATAATTCTAGGTCTCTTCTTTTTCGAAAATTGTTTTGAACTGATATACACTGGTGCAATAAATTGGAATGAAACAGACTATTGAACTTTCCAACAAGAGACACAGTTTAACGCAGTAATCATTTCAGCTTTGTTTATCATTGGTAAACAAGAATATGATTCACTGTGTGTTATTATACTGTCATCTGTGTCTCTTGCTGGAAAGCAACCTATATTTGTTTCCCTCACTTGTTGTCTTCTAAAAAAAATAACTCTGTTCACCAAGTAACCTATATAATGATTTATATAAGAATGTCACTTGTGAAAATTTTATATTTATTTTTATTAAGTACATTGATAATGACCCGATTGGCGTCGAAACATATGTTTGTACTGTTCTTCAAACATTAAAAGGTTATTGTTTGGCTCGAAGCCCTTTTTTTTCATTATTATTAATGATTTAACCTGTTACTTAAATATTTCTTCATATTTTTTTCCACAATTAAAGGTGATAATCTTAAAAATAATTAGTTAAAACATACATGCGATACATGAAAATGATATTAATCACAAAAAACTATTCTGTTATCCAGTAGGATGTCTCTCCCCTTTTTTCTTTGTCCTTCTCTCTCCATCATTCTGATTTAAATTAAGCCAAAATATTGTGGGGCATCCCATTAAATATAATAAATTAAGTCGTCCACTCACGCTCCTCGAGGGTGAACAGCAAATCGTTATTCCTGAGGGTGTCCAAGGTCGTCAGCAGACTATCCTTCTCTTCCATGAGCCTGGCAGCATCCTTCCGCAGTTGCTCTACGTGGGCCTCGATGTGATCCAGCAGACCGACTAACCTGTCCTTCGGTTTCTGCTCGTTACTCGGTTGTTCCGCGCTTTCCATGCTGCGTTTCCTCGTCTAGCATCGACTCCCCGGCGAGATGAGACGGCCTAATTGGATCCTAGACGACGTCGATGCAAGCAAGATCGCGTGCGCACCTGTCCGACTGATCCTGTTAACTCACGCGACTGCGTCAAGATTGGTCGAGAGAGTTAAAACATGTAATCCTTTACCGTTCGATTGTGTTTAACGCTGAACGTCGCGTGTCTTACGTTCTAATCAGCCTGGCTCGACTCTAACGACTCGATGCGAAGTCATATAAATAAGTACGACGAAAACCGGAAGTGAGAGAGAAATCTAGCGATTACAAACGCGCGGATTCGTCTGCGGTCCGTTAATTACTTCCTCTGTGATACAAGTCGATATGAATAAGATAACTGAAAGAATTCATGAATCAAATTTTATATTTTATAGATATTCATATAGAAATAATATATAAATCTATATTATTTTTATATGAATATCTATATGTTATTAGATTTCTACTTGTACCTTAAAATAGCTGTATTCGTCTATATTAACCTCTTTTGTTGAAATGTTTCAACCAGTCTCAACCTTTCAAATCGTGAACAACATGTATCCTACTTTACCGATGAAACAGCCGATAAGAATTTAAAATTTTGAATGCAAATGTGTTTTGATAATTTTTGTTCGTATCTGTATATAATTTCCGTCCACATCTGTATATATATTATTATCCATATCTTTTTTTGAGAAATTATTATTTACGTAGAGTTTGTCAATTTCCCATTTCGAATTTAATTGTTGATTTGACTTTGGCTTCCAAACCAACCTAAACTGACTGATCGCGTCGTATGACGTATCGTTCCTTTTCTATTTCCCGAACGAGCGTGCGAGATCAACGTGCGTTCGAAGTAAAACGTATCTGTATTCCTATCTACAAGTAAGACGTATTTTGTATCCATATCGTTTGCATGTCATCGTCTATCGTTTGGCAAAAACGTCGTTTTGCGTTCGTTCGAAAAAGCACGTTGTTTCATGTATCCAGAATCGTTTTGCGTTCTGTTAAGTGTTTCTCATTGAATTTTTATTCCATTTCAGGCCCATCCAATTGACACTAATCGCAAACAAATATGGTGAGTAAAGCAATATTTGCCGTTTAAACTCGACGTATTTTGCACGTTTTTGGATACGCATAAAAATTTCACCGTTTTATTTTATTATGTGTGTGTTGACAAGCTAGATGTGCATCATAACCTCTCTCTTTCAAAAGTTTCAAGTCTATAAGTGCATGAACAATTATGATATAAATGTATTTATACCATGTGAACAATATTGTTTTGTTTTTAGCCACGAGAAATCAAAGAGATCAAGGACTTTCTGCTGAAAGCCAGGAGGAAAGATGCCAAGTGTAAAATATTTTTATTAATTCAAGAATTTCTTCCTTGCGAGTCTTATTTTATATGAACGTAATTAAGTCTCCTACTTTTTTTTTTCAGCTGTAAAAATCAAGAAGAATGCAGACAATGTCAAGTTTAAGGTCCGCTGTTCTCGATTCTTGTATACTCTTGTAATCACGGACAAGGAGAAGGCTGAGAAACTCAAGCAGTCCTTACCACCAGGTACGACACCATTTTTCATGTTTAATATTGATAATTTTTTTTATCATTTGTAATGTTCTTAACCTTCAAACTATACACTAGTGTGAATTCGCACCATGAAAATTTTCAATTTGCTGACAGTTGCACATAAACAGTTGCCATGGCTTATCCCTACTACGTTAAATATGCTTTTTCATTAAATTTGAGTGATACCATTGGATTTGTAAGAAAATTATACCTCGGAAAAGAATGATTTTAAAGAAATATCTGTTTCAATGCTCAAGAGACTTGCAATTAAAAACGTCAAATCCCAATTTGCATCCGTATACCAATAGTAGGTGCTCAAGAGAGGTGTACGATTTGAAGATTAATTGTACTAGATGTTGTACTTTTCAAATAACAAATTTTAAGAGTACCTACAAGTTCCAATGAAATATGAATTTTTTTAGGTTTACAAGTAAAGGAAGTAAAGAGGAGTGAACGTGTGTAAAATGACTAAATAAACTATCTTTTAAACATGAGTCTTTCTTTTAATTTCCTTATGCTAAAGTTATAATAATTTCATATTACATTTTGACAAAATAGCAATTTACTATTTGTCCTTTTGTTGAAACATGCATGTCCTGACAGTTTGTATCTCTTTCTTTTAAAAATATTCCTCGGGGAAAAGATACACAGGTGCATTTCATATCGCTTATCTTAAAATAATATTGTGTAGCGATAGAACAGCTTAAATGGGTAAAAAAGCGATTTTAAATGTAACAATTTTTCCTGATTGCAAATTTGCAATATACATCTTAATTGTAATATAGAATAAATGCGACATTAGTCGAACGTGACAACGTAATTTCCTTTTTAAAGAACACACTTGACACAAATGTCCCCTTTCTTGGCATTTAATGAATCAAGGTACAACTTGTGTCGACTGCGTCGCTTAAGAGGAGAGAAGCCTTGATATATCTTAAGCTTCTCTTGTATTTAAACGTATACGTTAAGCGGGAAAAATTAATTATTCTTGTTTTTTCTATTCTTAAGCTTCTCTTCATTGCAAATTACAAGTTCAGAAATCAGAAATTGTGCAATTTTTCTCCCTCATGTTATACATTTAAATAATTTTTTCCTCATATCATACATTCAAATAAACCTATTCTTTTACTACGTTAAAATTTGCGCACACACACGTTTATTAATATAAATATCTTGGAAACTTTTTAGTCTTTCTATATTAATAAATATACATGTACGTGTATATGCTGATTACTTTTGTCTTATTTATACGGACTCTTCACTTCTTTTAAGAAAGGACGTGCATACATTACATACTTCTAATGTTGTAATAGCAAATTATTCATATTTTGATATATTTCTTTTTATTTCCCTTTCTTTTTTTCTTGAACCGCCTTCCATTTTTTTATTTATCTCTTTTTCATTTAATTTCTATTTTTTATCGTAGAACTACGAGCTATATATATATATATATATGTATGTATATGTATATATATATGTATATAAATTTTTTTTGAATAAAATAAAGATTGGGGTTTCGATATTCTTCATTCATCACATTCATGGTAAGTTGTCCTACAAAAATTTTTATTTTTAATAAAATATAATTAAAATGAATGACGGATATAATAATCAATCAGAAATAATTAAGTACCTTTGCTTGTCTCTATTGCGTTTCGATAATCTTCTTCCACGGTCGTGTGTTGATAACGTGTATCGTTTAGTATGTACTCGATTCGTTCTGAGTTCCCGCATTTCGGAGGTTTTTGCTTTTTCTAACTTTCCCATAAACTTTGCAATGAGTTCCGGACAATTCAGATTTCTCTCCGGTTCCCACGTGTCGTCAGTCGCGCTGAATCCTTTCCATCTGATTAAAAATTCTTTTGTGCCATTTTTCTTAAAACGTACCTCAATTACTCTTTCGACTTCAAATTCTTTTGAGATCCCTCCTTTTTCCTGTTCACTATCTTCATCGTCTGGAAGAAAGATATAAATGCATAGGATTTATTTTCATAATAAATAATATTTCAAGACAGATCACAAATAATGATACAACGTACCAGTTTCTTTCGTTTCTTGGGTTTGTTTCTTGGCAGAACTTCTGGAAGATTTTTTAGATTTATCTGTTTTGGCCGGTTTTGATGGTTTAATTTCTCTTTCTTTCTCTTTTTCCTCGATTAAAAAATCTTCTATCAGCTGAGGACAATTCAAATCCTTTTCATTTTCCCAAGTGTCGTCATTTTCTCCGTAACCTACCCATCTCACTAAGAACTGTCGACGGCCTTTAATGGTACGAATATTGATGAGCCTTTCCACCTAAAAATTTTTTTTTAATATTTTTAACAAATAAGAAAATAAATGTTTGATGCGCCGTTTACATAATGCAGAATAAACTTAGTATAAGTAAAAGTAAAAAAATTGAACAATCACAGCCGATTATTCTTTTCACATGCGATTCGTGATTGGTCAACTTCTTACTCTTACATCTTACACCAAGCTTACTCCGCATACTATAGACAACGCATTAGATTTTCATAAAAATGGGTGCATTCAGTACTGAAACCACTCGAAGCGGCTAAGGAACAATTTAATGTGATTAGTTGGATCTAAAGGTAAGGACCAATCACACTCGACTGCCACTTAGCTGCTTAAGGAGGCCCTAAAGCTGTTTGTATTATCGATTCAGGCTGTGTTCCAAAATTTATTGCCGGTACTGAGAGTCTGTAGTGCACGTGATATAAACTATAGATTTTCAGTACTAGCAGTAAATTTTGGAAAAACCTCAGTAGGCTTAGGGCCCTGGCACACAAAAAACTTAAGGAGTAAGACGTAAGCAGTAAGGAAATCAACATGTTGGATTCGCTACTGCTAGTGTTATAGCCTTACAGACTCTACTGTGATTGGTCAATTCGCTTACTGCTTACGTTTTACCGCTTAAGTTTTTTTGTGCCATGGCTTTTACACTGCACATATGATTTATACGTCATTGACATATCACTGCACACTACTATATCAATACCGCACACATACATACAAATTTCTACCTAATTTTTTACATTAGGCGTCTAAGCCTAATTTTAAGACCACAATATTGTTTGTTTATATAATCCCTAGTTTATGTAACCCCAAACCAAGATTGTTTTATACATACACAGCATAAAACTTGTATAAAACAAATATTGTTGCGGGTCAACGACAGAAGCTGGTAACAAAACTGTAATTTTCCAACTTTCTTTCGCTTGTGACATAAAATCGATTGGTTTGGACTACATTATAGTTATTACTTGTATTTTAATTGTGGAAAAAGATTTTTAAATCTCTAAAGGCAGTTAGAAAAATACTTCATAAAAAACAGACTTAGGACGATCTTAATGAACGGTTGTTGTGTCGAATTATTACCATTAATTATTAATCATCTATCTTATATTATGTAGAAATATCTAAAATTTACGGACAATCTAAGTACAATAATAAAAAAATTGTCAAAACCTTAATTAATTTTGTAAATCTTTATTTCTAGCGATATTTTTTTCAAGTGCAATAGAATTTTTGAATATTCAATATAATTCGTAAAATGTTTGTTATTCATTCTTGTTGTTAACTTCATGTATATGGCGCGCACTTCTTTCCGCGCGGTAAATTTATTGGACGGAAAAAAAAAAAGAGGATACGCGATTGGCCAATGATATTCGTCGCAAACAATGATAAACCTACCCGAAAATCAGTTACGCAAGAAAATCGAAATATATTTAGACGTAATAGAGGAAATTTAATTATTTTGTGAGAAAATTTTCAATCAAGTCATTTATCGTTAATTAAAACGTAACTGGCGTTCCACGAGGCGAAGGTAGTAAAATGTAGCAACACCCACCATACCTCGTATTCGCTCCCAACGTCCTCGGGCTTCAAGTCGCGGGCCGAGGTGGACGCTCGCTGATTTTCCTTCTTTCTACGCTTGTTCGGTAAGGGTTTCTTCTCGCCGTTTTCCCGCTCTTTCGGTTCTATCGCCGTAGAGTCGTCGTTATCCGAGTCGGCGTCGTCGTTCGTGTTCACTGCCGGCTTCGGCACCGATGCACCGCGCGCCGAGCGTCTCTTCGTGGCGGACTTTTGCGAGCTGTTGTTCTTGCCGGCCTGCGTCTCGTCGTCGTCGTTGCCCGCGCGTGCGTCGACATTTTCTTCCGGCTCGCTATCGCTCACCGCTTCGGACTTTCTATGCTTGTTCTTCATACCGAGCCGTCGCATAATACAACTTACGGGTACCGTTTGCGTGCGAGCCGCCTTCGAATCTTAACCGGTCCTACAATTCTCTTGACAACTATCTCTTTTCACAACCGTCAACAGTACCACTCGGGCCTCTTGCTTCTTCTTCTTCTCCTCCTTCTCCTCCTCCTCCACCTTCTTCGCCGCCCCCTCTTCAGCCCCTTGGCGTTTTCTCTGTTTCTCTCGCGTTCCGATGGCCTTCCCCTCGCTCGCGAACACCAGTGAAAAGGTAACGGGCTGACGAATCGCTTCCCGCCGCGTTCTGAACTACTGCAAGAAATTTTACCCTCGTACTCGGCAACAGTGCGCGCGCATTTTAGCTTTTTACCCACAATACCCACGCCTCACGCGAGTACACGCACACCCACACGGCATACGCACGTCCGTGTATATTATCATGGAGAGTACCGGCACAGTACAGAATCTACAGAATTGACGAATCGGAACGAACGCTCTTCGGGCGGGACTTTCGTGCACATGCGTCAGATGCGTCATCGATCACGTGATCGACAGACCCGTATCAAGACGCCACGCAGAGGCGTCCATTTTGGGATCCGTTTTAACATTTTGTTACATTTACGTTAATAATACGTCATATAACGTTACTTATTCTTTTTCATCACGGCGCCTATGACTCATTTTTTATTGCAGCTATTATACGTGTGGTTGAAACGACAATATATGCGCGTCCCGCACGAGATAAGCTCCGATAACAGCCCGTTCTATTTTTATCTGAAATTACTCGCATGGTGCATTCTTCTCCCTTTCTCTCCAGTTGGAGAAAAAAAAAAGAAAAGATAAACCATGCAAACTCAGCTAAAAGGAATAGACCCGATGGCGATCTTTGAGCTGCCGATCGAGTGTAGCTTGGACGAACCGATCAATCTTCACGGTCCTGAGAGATCGATGTCGTGTACTTCACAAATTTTATTATCATTTTTGACTTTCGTAATTTTACTGTTTTTGATCCGCTCCGCAACAGTTGAGTCTGCTGAACGCGACCTATGTCTGTGAAGTACCGTTACTTTGGCTCTCCGTGTAAGATTAGCTGAAATCGGTAATTTACACAAAAAAATCGATTACTGCTAATTAGCCGTCTAAAGTAAAAAAACATATGTCACGATAACGTCGAAATGACGTTAAAATGAACAGTAAATGACTGAAAAGTGACTTAGCGAGCATTTTGAAATCATATTGACGTTATGATTTATGCTTCCCAATTAAGGAACATACCAAATTAAGAGAAAGTCAAAATATTTTGTTACAAAATTTGACTTTATTGAGATTAAAAATTAAAATAGTAATTTTGATTTTTTTATTGATTTTTGTTCTTTAGGTTGGATTAGTGAACTGCAAGTAGCAGCAGGGTCGATTTTCGGAAAATCGATTTTAATTATCAATCCCTGTATTCAATTTTAATAAAGCTGATGTATTACAAATTAGATTTGCTTATTTTTTAATGCCTCGCACGTATAAATGCAAGTTCAGAAGGATAATATTAATTGATTTCTAAATTGACCTACTTTTTTTCTTCTCTCGGACGCGACTTAAAGCATTTCTCTTTTTTTCCACGTTGGAGAGAAAAAAAAGGAGAAAATGTATACAAAAACATTCAGCTAAAACGATTAACCGACGTATGATTTGAACGAGCCGATTATCCTTCGTCCGATTTTTTAACATCAGCAACATGTAATCACTCATAATATTTATTCGCTTTATGCCAATAAATACTACTACATTTTCCTTTATGTTGCCGAAACTGTCAGAAGCTATATATCGCCTACTGGATTGACTTCCAGTTCATTTCCCCTCACCCCCGTGATGAGTAGGCCCTGTATTTACCGTTCGTTTCAATTACACTCTCTGCACTTCGTTTCTTCTCCTTCTCTCTCAATTTGAGGCTCAATGTATGCACGCTTTCTTCGTTGCCGACTCAAAAAGTGCAGGAGAGTGCAGTTAAAACGATGCCCATTTTACGGCTTAAGTGCGTCGCAATAAAGCTCGTCGACATGACCGTATGACCTTTTTAGTGAATTGGTGAAACTGAATGAATAACGAATCGCTGTCGATCGTCGTCAACGCGAAATAAGAATTCACTCAGGGGGCAATCGATTCTAGGCTATATTTCTACTGTACCTTTAAGAACGACGTCTTCTACCGCTGCCGGCCTTTACGTTAGACGGCCATGTTGATCACGGATATTACCGGAAGACAACAGTGCAGTTTGAATTCGTCATCGAATCGATATATATTAAATGGCGGTTCATGAATTTTAGCCGAGTCACCAGAACGCGAGGAGATTCACTACCGCCCCTCCCTCCCCCCTTTGAATCCATATTGCTTTCATAATTAATCGCGGTATCCCGATTCGATATAAGAAATTTGAAAATAAAAAAACAAAAAGCGATTTATTCAAAAACATTCGAGGCACCCTCTTTCGCGTAAATACGTTACTTCAAAGATCGAGTCGTCTGTGGAGGTCGATCGTGTATTTTGAACCATGAAAATTACAAAATTGAGCAAATTCACTAGATGTATGTGTGTGTGTGTTGACCAAGAAAATTATAAATATTCCAGTAAATTCGCTCACATTTGTATTTTTCACCTTGTTTCAAGATATACAATCGATCCTCTGATCCTAAGAAAAAGTCTGAAAAAATATTAACGTTTAAAAAATTCGATTTCGATTCTGTTAATTTTTCCAAGGCATACTTTCGATCGATCGTATTCAATTGACGTTGACTTATTGGCAAAATTATTACTGACAACATAAATAGATTAGAAATACCAACATTTTTTACTGACTAAAAAAAGATCAAGGATCATAGATCGTTATGAAAATAAAGCAAATGATGAAAAATATTTCAATATGAAGAACATAATTATTGAAAAGTCAAAATATTCCAAAATGATATTTTTTACATTAGAAACATAATATTAACATTATCTAAAAAATAGGAATAGTCAATTATGATCGCTTGGTATTTCTAGTGTTAAAGAAATATCATTAATAATTTATTAAACTAAAGATTCGCATTCGTTGTTTGTTCAAAACTTTGTCGATAAAACCTCGCAATTACACACCAATAATTTCGATTGCCTCGTCACACACTCTTGCCTTCCTTCGTTGTCCTGACAACGTTGCGATCAAATCGTTTATCCAATTCGCGATTTGTAGAATAAATTCGCGACTTGTACAATATATCTTTCGCTTTCTCTTGCCTAATCCGTTTTCTCGATTTCGTTTTCTTTTGTCGTTCGTCAAATGAATTCTCATCATGGCCAAATTCGTGAGTACTTATGAAAAGCCTCTGCCTCATATCGGTCTGTCGGACTGGTACACCAAACAATGGGAGCTTCGACAAAACGCGGACGTCAGAAGATCCGAGGCTTGTCGACTACGCAATTCGAGCAAAACCACTCGTTCCGAAGGGAACGTGACAACGAAATGGGACACCTACATAAACGATGCTCGAATAACGGATAGGTGACTATGAGTATCCTTGACAAATATTACAATTAATCTATAGTAAAAATTCAAGCAGTCCAAGCCATGGTGATGATAAAATCGATATTAATTAAAAAGTTATTTTTGACAATCATTTTGGAGCTATTTTGATGTTGTAATAACTTCCTCTACTTGGGAATGATAAAGTTGCAATTGATTTCATTCAGTTGCAACTTTTTGAAAAATATAGGTACATCTCCAACATAATACTTTGTCTCGCCAGAGTGTTGGAACTATCGAGATGGAAGGATATCATCGACGACTTGCTGCAAAAATTATTAACCGAGATAGACTTATTAAATGATGAGAAAGCCAACACACAGAAGGAACTCGAAAACATAACTCATCCCTTGCGTATCGCCAGCGAATGCATCTCGATGAGGGACTGCCGTAGAGAAACCGAACTCACGTACGATGAGGCAGATATAGAGTTGAAGAAGGAGCTCCGCTCGATCGCAAATATTCATGAAGAATTTACCAAGAGGTGATCAAGCTGATATATGTAATAGAAGGATAATAAATTTCCTTTTCCTCTATTCCATTTTTTTCACCTGATAGAGCTCAGGCTGCGTGGGAAAAGTTAAATCGCTTGGAAGCCCTTAAATTTAGACTGAGCTTGGACATAGAGGATAAAAATGAAACCATTAGAATAGACAAGGACAATCTCGAATTGGATCATACTTCTGCAAATATAAGTTACAAACCGAGAACATCAATCGATAAAACAAGGTACAAAATTTCCTTTTCTATTTGCTGTTTCTATACCGCAATATTTATATCACCAAAATTCGTAACTCGTCTTTTTCCATTTCGACAGTTCAATCACGTATGAGGTTTGGCTGGATCGATGTCGTTGTTCCAAGTTGTCTGCCGAAAAAGAATTGAGTGAATCTTACAATTTTCGTGAGGCAACACGTGTAATGAGGGAACATGCACTGAACGATATTAAAGCTCAACAAGACGCAACAGATTACACTTTGAGGAAGAGAATTTATCAAACGCAAAAAGGCAGAAATGAAATGGAGTGGCAGAAACTTAAGGTATACATGATCGATTATATTTTTTCAATTTTAATCAATTTTCATGAATACGGATAAAAATAAATCAAATAATGAATTTGACAAATATCGAATATATAGTAAGAATTTGTTTCCATCTGCGTTTTGTAAATATAAATAGGTGCAGAAGGAAATGGAAATGTTAGGAAATGAAATAACCCAGTTAGAAACAACACTGATGAGTAAAACAGGTGTGGTGAAATGCGTCGAAACGCGATTGGAGAACCGAATTTATCGGCCTGGCTCGGAGCTTTGTAAGGACGAAGTGGAATTAGGCTTGAAGAAGGAAGCCTTGCAATTAAAACAGACTGAAGAAGATCTAATTAAAATGATCGAACATGCAAAGTATGGGTCTTATATTGCTAATTATTAGACTCAACTGCATTCAGAAGAAGAAGTTTTGCAACTATTGCAAGATTCTTTAATACGATTGATTACATATTTGCATCTATTTAGATCCAGAATTAAGGGCAAGAACCAGTCGACCAACTAAAAGTACATTAATTTTACATTCAATATAATACATTAGGTCTGTTTTCTGTGGCTGAACTAGTGTACACTTTTGAAACCTAAAGTGAGATAGATATACATTTGATATTTGTCAAAAGCGAGAAAGGGAGTTCTAGAGCAGTCTAGTGCAGGAACAGAAAACAGATCAATTGTATTACAGATAGTTATATTGCTGTGAAAATATAACATTAATGTTACTTTTAGAGTGCGTTCCGTTTCTCGCATGATGTGCATAATGCATCGTTTATCCTTGTTGCTCACCAAATGTTAAACAAGGACAATGGATGCATCATGCGCATCATGCAAGATACGGAACACACCTTTAGTTGGTATAGACTGGGAGAATTATATTAAAAAATCTTACAATGCGCACACCAATTGCAAAGCTGTTCTTTTTTTTACTAAATGCACAGTCATTAAAATTATTTGTCATTTCTTTTTCTTAAGTGCAAGCTTTAAATTTAATTTTCTAGAACAAGCTACAATAGTCTGGAATCTTTGCTTATACGGATCGACAACAATTTGGAAGACAAACAGCATTCTCTGAATACCGACGTTATGTGCTTGGATATGAGAGCACCGTTGAAAACAGGAGACAGAGCGCGTTTACCTAATGAGACGGACCGTAATATCGTATTGACACACATGGAGAAAGAGATTCCGCTGGAATCTTAATTCGACTGCCCCATTTTTCTAAAACATGATTTTGTAGACACTGTCTTTAACGTCTTAAAAAACTTGTCAGTCTCCACCTTTATTTATATTGTGTAAAAAAAAAATAAGAATTTCGATCGAAATTTGATGAATATTGTCAATTTTGTAAATTTAATCGAATCTAACCCCACACATAATAACCTTACCAAATTTCATTTTCCGTTTGTATCTTGGGAATCATTCTCATGTATATTTTTTTTCGAATCCTGTTGATTTCTGAGAAAAGAAAATTTATATTTAAAAAATTATATCATTTATAATTGAATGATTTATAAATTTATGAAATCTGACAAAACCACATGTTCAGGCACGGTAAAATCGACTGAAATCGACAGACATCTGTCGATAACGTGTTTGAGCACAGAGTTCCAATTCTCGACGCTAGATGTCGCCAAAGTGCAGAACAGATGATGCTGCCCTCTGTGTGGCAATAAAAACATGGAAGTGGGGGGGGAGTGGTAAAGATGATCACAAGAGGGCACTGGTGTATCAAAATTGCTGCTACTTACAGAGAGATATACTATTTCGCATATATTTAAATTACACAACACACAAATTACAGCGTAAACATTATAGACAGACCGTAAGAAGTCGAGAATAGGAGGTGCGTACAAATTTGATTAGCGCGCTTCGGAGCGGGCTCGTCGACTCTATTGCTGCGTATCTGCAAATGAGGTATATTTCACATTTATATATAGTAATCGTAAAGTCGATCCAACACGCAGACAAGCGGGACAATCGCTATCAGCAAGGAGAAGTGAAGGAGAACGAGATCGAAACGAAAAGAAGGACGAAGAAAAGGAGAAAAGACAAGATATGAGGATGGCGAGATGAAAGAGCCCACACAGTACACTTTATTCGAGAGACGTCCTGGGAATGTTCTTAGAATATCCGTAGAATATCTTCTGGACGTTTTTAGGAGTGCATCTCGTTTTATGCAAGATGTATCATTTTATCCTTCTTTAATATATATTCGGTAAACAACAAGGATAAAATAATACATCATGCGTAAAACGGAACGCCCTTCTAGATTTTATCCCTATAGTTGTTTATCGAATATTAAAGAAGAACAAAATTACGCATCATGCGTGAAAAGAAACGCACCCTAGGACTTCCCTTGGAAGTTTGTACTGCATGGGAAGGTCCACGGTATAGGCAATGAAAGAAAGGATAGTAAACGACGATGACGATAACGATTCGAGGAAATCAATTTGGAAGAATGCGGTGACGACATAGGCAGGCGGATAGACAGATATAAATAGACACATTACTTCGTTTTCCGGCTAACGTTCGTAACTACGTAACTACATAACGATTCGATCATTTGATTATTATAATGATCGCGCGTTGTATACAAAGCGGCGACTACGGACAGAATTTTTGGCCTCCTGCGCGCGCTCCCGAGGTGGGACATGCTTGTTGTGCTTGTATCGGAACGTAACGGAACGTCCAGATACGCGAAATCGCTTTTCGCCGACGCCTCTCTTTCTCCGCGCGCCAGGGACGGACGTGAACTTTTCGAGACCTGAAGCTGGATAGTCCGGTTTCCTAGCGATAACGTGTTAAAAAGAAAAAAGATACATCTTCTCTATAATTTAAAATATTGGTTAATATTTTGGAACAAAGTTATATCTTTGACTGGAGTGTTTAGATATCGGGCCAAGTCTTTAAACACTGAAAATACCAATGTTTCTTACTGACTGAAAGGACCAAGTGTGAATAAATTACTATATGAAAATAAAGAAAGCGATGAGAAATCAAATATTTCATTAGTATAAAGAACACAATTATTGAAAGGTCAAAGAATTTCAGGATCCTATCTTTTACACGGGAAATATAATATTATCTAAAAAATAAACATGGTTAATTATGGCTGCTCGCTACTTCTAGTGTTAAGTTGCATCAAAAGAATCTCCGAGAATGGATATAAAAATCTTTGAAAGTTTCTGACTAAACTATCCAACATTGCAATCGCTTTTTGTATTTCATTTAATTCGACTATTAGTTGTCCTGATCGAAACAGTCCTAGGGCCATAAAAAGCGCTATAAAAAAAGGAAAAAGAAGGACAAATCTTTGGACTCTTGATAAAAGCATTACCAAGCAAGGATCTATTAAAGGGATAAGATAATTGAGAGATGGTAAATATTATTTTTAAGAAACCTCACGATCGAGGGAAAAAATGTTTCATATATAATTATATAAAAAATTGACATATTTTATATACAATTATATATAATTATATATAAAATATGTCCATATATATATAACATTTTTTCCCGGGCAGCAATTTAAAAGATCCAAAGCTTAAAAGAATTCATTGTCTCCCACGTGAATCCGTCCCTGACTATCGCTACAAATTTCGTCTGTTGCATTTTTGCCGCAGAACGCATGGTTTTAGACGCGAAAGGTATACACACGCCTTTTGTGCGAAGCACGGTGAATCAACGAGCAATGGATCGGATCGAATCGATCGGAGCACGCGTGAGAACGAATTATTCCCGGCCCATCGCTTCGCGTAATATACAGATAATATTACACTAGCTACATGGCTATCAGATGCGTATCTTCTGCTTTTTCTTGTTTTTTTTTTACACGTATACACAAGCGCATACATAGACTACCGCGCGTGTAGAATACGCATATAAATACATACTCGCATATAACACACGGACGCAACATTCGCCCACACATACATACACGTGCACGCGCACATCGACCGCTATAAGACATCTTATCTCTTCAAGACTACGCGAATTTGTACATAAGGCATCACGATATCGTGTCGTTTCTCACATATACGAACGTGATAACGGCAAAGCGTGATACTCGCTCTTCTATCTATCTGTTTCTGCTATCAAGGAGGTTCGGCAAATATCGGGGCGAATTTCGCGTTAGCGACGACTATCGAAATGATGATGCGCGCCGCGCGAGACGCGGATTAAGCTTCTTCGACTCTTAAAGCACGATCGTGCGGACGATCGTTTACACACCAAACAGGATATCTCGAGTCGCAGCCAGCCTCGAGATAGCGATAATTTCAAGATAGCGTTGCTTTAATCTGGCAAATCATTTCTCAAGGGACTCGACGACGTTGCGAGATGACGGCTCGTATATACAGCTTCGAAAAATACAGTATGCGTAAAAAAAAAATGCGACTCTCACAACTAACACTTCAGCTGTCGGTTTAATTAAATAAAGTGAGTGGACGGGGGCAAATTTGATTGTAACACAAATATTTTCTCCTTCTACCAAATATTTATTCGATATGATTTCCTTTAATTGCAATCACTGCGTTACTGCGTTACACTCAGCAAACATAATAGTGATTAAAAGAGAGTCGCATTTTTCTTGGCGCATACCGTATATGAATGACGATAGCGGAGCTCTGCCGACAAGTTGAAATTTTTAAGTAAATAAGAATACGTAGAAAAGATTGTGGGGGAACACGTGCATGGGAATGAAAAAAATCTTATCATCCGCGAATGCAAATATTTCGATAAAGTAATCGAAAGTAAACGTTTTGAAGTGAATGTAAATAATATAGAACCTGTCTTTTAAAACGGATGTTTTCGCTTTTACTTTCCAAGAGCATTGGCTTCACTTCTCTTCGTATGAGTCGACGGCTCGGGCCCATCCGTCGGTATGAAGTTACGCTATAGTTAACCGAGGAATGGGGATTGTAATATCCCTCACTCGGACTTGTCCGTGAGTGAGTATACAGCGCTATGACGAAATATTGCCTCGCGATCACCACCCACACCGAGGATGTATTTCGTCACGACTGCTTAACCGAACAGTAGTGAGCGTAACCGAAGCGATCGAGTCGAGACGGCTCGCTTCGAGCGTTCGATGCTTCCCTGATATGTATATGCGAATCGGGAACGACGATCGGGTCTACAGCCGACTCCGAAACTATAGCGGAATAATCGTATCGAGGACGATGCAGCGAATTCAATTGCATCGATGATTGCGTAAACGAACGCGAGTCGAAGGTGCTTCCGCGGATCGAAAGTCAATTTCGAAAAGATCCGCTAAATTTGTCACTCTCTTTACAAAAATGGGATGACGTATGGAAAGAAATGTAAAAATGTAAATACATGCAATGGCTGCGTTCAGAAGAAAAAGCAGCTTTATAACTATTGTAAAATTCTCTAATACGATTGATTTTGCTCTCACTGGATCTAAATGTATATCAATCATATTGAAGAATCTTACAATAGTTGCAAAGCTGCTTTTTCTGCTGAACGTAGAATATTTGCAATACGATGTCATAGATATCGCTCCATTTAGAAATTACGATAATATCTGTGAGAAACAGTTTTCTTTTTTAATAATTTCTACACGTTTCTAAACTCTCTCGATGCTCTTTCTTCAACTAACAGTTTCGTAAAGGCTCCGCGCCTCGAAACCTGAATGGCGAAAACCACGCAGCGCGCGTCCAACACAGGTAGTCGAGAACGAACGGGAAGCAAAGAGAAGATCTCTCTCTCTCTCTCTGTCTTTCTCTTTCTCTGTCCATACTCTCGTACTCTCTTCACTTGGTGTGCTGCTTCGGGAGGTGCCGCTTCATGTGCAGCGCGAGATGATCGCTCCTGGCGAAGGAGCGCTCGCAGACCGCGCATTTAAAGGGCTTAGCCCCGGTGTGCTTGCGGTAATGCCGCGTCAATTCGTCGCTCCTGGCGAATCGCCACTCGCACTCCGGCCATTGACACTGATACGGTTTCTCGCCTGAAACAGCCAACAAGAAGAAAGACATAAGTGAAAACGTGCACAATGATGCGTGTCTGAGAGCAATCGTAATTATTACGACTAATAAGTTGTTGGAATCACTAATTTATTACATTTGTTGGACGATTAATTCTTAAGTAAAGATAACGTAGACAATTTGATTTATCATTTAATCATTTTCTTCCGAGATACTCGATTTCAAGAGTTTCCTGTATTAATTCCTGTAATTGATTTCTAATCTATTTTTTTACATTCTTCTGTCATTTCTAATGCGAAATATATGTTTGCAGATACATATTACTAAAGGTAATCTTTTTGTCATCGAGTCCTTTTTTTCGCGGATCATTTTACACGAAAGTGCGAAAGCGTATCGCTATAGGGGGTTTAATCGGTGCGACTCGAACGTCTCACGAGTGAGAATTCCGTTCGAGTTTCGAGACGGCGGCGACCTATTAGAGAACAAAGCGTTGCTCTTTGTGAGATAGAGCCGCGGGATGCGGTATACTTAGGTATATACCCCGTCGCGCCTCTCAGCTGCGAGAGATGCAGCACGGTGTGACCTTTAACTGTACCTGCATGCCGCAACACGCTCACCTGTATTCTAGCGCAATCGCACCGGCCGGACCGCGCGCGAGTAACCGACCGGCCGAATGCAACCAACTAATGCGAACCAACATGCCCGCATTCCGCTTAGCTTCGCCGATTACCGAGGATATGCCTTCCTTATTGTTATTATACGCGCCTGTGGCGTATTATTTCTTTTTTTATAAACAGGATTGAGAGCTCACGCGTGATTGACGTTAAAATTTATTGAATGTACGGGCCATCAAAATATAGACGCGGATCGGACTTCAAGAATTGACATTTAGAATCGGAGCGAAACAAGTTGAGGATTCAAATCGTTAGGTCGAATATGCTGCATTAAAAGGAAAACCAAAAAATACCTACCTACACCGAAAGGAAAGATTGGCTGCTGCAGCAAATTAGATGGTAAAATATGGCATAGCGTTTTTAATTGGCTGTAGTAGCCAATTTCTTGGTTGCGTTAGCCAATCAAAATCCTATACTGACATCGCGGATGGGCTAATACAACCAAAAATTGACTGCGCAACCAAAAATTGGCTCCTGCAGCCAATTAAAAATGCTACGCCATGTTTTGCCACCTAATTTGCTACAGCAGTCAATTTTTTTTTTCAGTGCAGCAAACACAAATATAACGTACGTATATGTAAATATACACCTTTTTATATCTCTGTTATATGACAATTTTGCGTATATTATAAAAAAAATGTTAATAATTTCGCATTCAATATAAATGTATTCAATATAAATGTATACAATTTCCTTGCTTCTGAATTCCCATGGCTTTGAGGCGTTTTGAAATGTTGAGTCACTCCCAATGATCGTGCCAATTCTTCTTGATTTTGACACGAGTCTTGATCAAGTAACGCCTCTAATTCTGCATCTTCGAAAACCTTCTTCCTTCCACCGCTGTGCCAGTCTTCGACGTCAAAATCACCGTTCTTGAAGCGTTGAAACCACTCACGATACGTTCTTTCACTAATAGCAACCTCACCATAAGTATTTGAGAGCATTCGATGAGCCTCAGCCGCAGATTTCTTCATATTGAAGCAAAAAATTAAACCTCCCGCAAATGACGAGAATTTGGCTCGTAAACTGACATTTTCAATCGAGAATAACTTTATGATGCAGACACAAATCGACTAATGTTTGTATGGGGTTGACAGATACCCAAGTTTATCATATGACGTCTATGATCTATTTATTTCGACCACCACTTACCGCTAAAGCCATCTATAGGAAAACGGCGGAAGCAAAGTTGTACACCTAATAATACAACACATGTAACGGTTGAGTGCGAAATTGTAACATTGACGTTACTTTTATAGTAAAGGCTGAAATGCGTACACAACGCATAATGCATAAAGCATAAAAAAATCAATCAATTAGGGCTATCACACATAAAATGACATAAGTTGCATAACCATAGCATAAGGCCGCTGAACCAATGAGTATTTTGTGTAAATCAATATGGCGACATGCTGGATGCTCATTGGTCCAGCAGTCTTATGTTATGCTTATGTTCTATTACCTCGGATCTACAATAGGGTTTTAAGCCTTAAGCCATAAGAAATGGACGAATCATAGTCGATTATTCTCTTCGAATTCGACTATAATTGGTCAGTTTCTTACGACTTAAGGCTTAAAACACTTATTATAGATCCGGGGTTATGCGTTATGCAAGATTCTGCAATGTGCTTCCACTCTTAGTATCGACTGGGTAATTACTAATTAGTATAACATATATAATCGCTATAATCAAGAACTGGAGAGTGGATCGAATTCGACAGATCCGCTTTAGACTTCCATAATCCTTAAACGCACCGCGTACAAATTACCTACGCGATTCATTCAAACTTTAAATGTCTCCTACGTCAACCACTGTGCAGCTGTCCAATCGCCTCTCCGAGCCGTTCGCGAATTCGATCGCGACGAAAGATTCTTTTGCGATGCGCGGAACGGTGAGTAAAGAAGCGAGTGGTAAGCGAGTAAAAGCGACCGAGGCGGAGGCTCGCCGGGGAAAGGGATCCGAGGGAGGAGGGTGCCGGGAGGGCGAGCACGCACAGAAGAGGAGAAGAAAGAACTCGATAGCTGAGAGATACACCCACGCATCCTTCTAGCTCGTTCCTGTTCCTCTCTCGTGCGCTATACGGAGACGACCCTAACCGGTCCTCGCCGCTGCAGCCGCCCTGCGCCGCGAGAGTTGCATTCAGCGCTGCAGCATCACGTCGCACCGTGCCACGCGACGCACAGCCCAAGAAACGGTACTACTACCACGAGCGCTATCCATTTACGGTATCGCGCGCGTTCACGTGAGAATTCTTCTCCCGCGAATCTCCGCCGGCGAGAACGGCGAAATTTCCTCTCGATCTGACATTAGCAGGTTCATTCCTATTTAAACATTTATCCTGCTATTAAGTAATTTTAAAAAAAGGCTTTATTGATAACTTATTAACCCGAGAATAATCATCTGATTTTTTAACTCGTAAATGATCAGCTGGAGTATTTTAATACTCCAATTAAAATCACTATTGTTAATAACGTATTCTATATTTGATTGTTTTCCGATTTATTAGTATTTGAAAACGTTATGGATATAGATTTAATTTAAAAAAAAATGTGCTTATCCGGTTTAATGTTTATTTAGTTTCTACTTATCTTTTTTTTTAAATTAAATCTATATCCATAATGTTTTCAAATACTAATAAATGAATTTTAATGTATTTTCCATTTTTTATAAATACTATCATAATATTATGATAGTATTTATAAAAAATGGAAATTTTAATTAATTAATATAACGCTTTTTATTGTGGCTTTTTAATGGAATTACATATTTAAAGTAAAGAAAATACATTAAACATTATCCATACAAAATAATATCTTGCAATCCATATTTTTTTCGCCGTTAAAGCGTAAAAAAAAATTCGATGACTATTCTCGGGTCAAACGTTCTAAAATATATAATCTCAAGAAAAAAAAAAATAAGAATAAATCGAAATGGAAAGTCAATTTATAAAAATTATTTTCCTTTCTGTAATGATATTTTCTTATTAAGTTTAAACACTCGATAAAATTCTTGATAAATGCATGTTGGAATGTGTAAACGTTGGAATTTAGCGGCACGAACTCTGTGTGGCGTACGTAATATTTGCGACTTTTCGACGACATTTACGCTCAAGGCTTTTATCCAACTTATATAAAAGTTATTTTTATTTAGAAGAAATTCTTTCCAACATTCTTAACTGCTTAAAACGCAAAAAAGAGAGCGTGACTATTCGTGTTTTTTGATTCGTGCGATATCGCGAAATATGATATTGCATTACGATGTTTCCGGAGTTCGATCGGTCGAACCGGCGACACCTACGGGGTCTCCAGGCGTCCCCATTAATTTTGGATCACTTTCACCCGAGAGCCGGCAGCGCTCCATTCCGCGGGCAAGTTGCTTTCCAAATACGCTTCCTAGTCCTACTTTGATCCAGATTTCTTCATCTACCGCGGGCTTTCTCGCAATGTCTGGATCTTGATTAATCTCTTGGTGATTAATGATAGCGCTTAAACTTCGATTTCTTTAAGATCGGAAAAATATTCTAAAAGTTGAAATAATCAAGTATATACTATATATTTACATATATATTTACATATATATATTAATCATATATATTAATCATGAGAAAATGTCAGGAAAATTATCAGAACTGAATAGTTTGATTAACGACATTCTTCGATTCAATTAAGGATGAAAGTAATTAAATTATATATTTTTATGTCGTCATCACTAATAAGTCACGTATAAGTCACGATTAATATAATAATTTATGATATTAAATCTACATTTATCGCGTCGACTATGAGTCAGCTGTCATTAATTATAAAGATCATTTTCGTAATGATAATAATAATTCTAGACGTTAATGAATTAATAACGAAGTCGAACACACGCGGCTCGTGGCACTACGGTGCATTCACAGCGGTGCAGCGAGGGTTCATTCACGAGTCGTCCGACAGACTCGCGCGCGAGGGCCACGTGCCCCCCTCAGCTTCTCCACCTCGTCGAAGCGTTCCCCGTCTTGGCGCGCCCGTGTCTCGCTCGCCTGTATTCGAGAGATCGCGCGACAAATTGAAATATCCTCGTATAATCTCGCATATCGATCGGTTCTCCGTTCTAATCGATCGACGGAATGTCGTAAGGATTGATCGACGGACAAGATGTACAAGTCGCGGCAAAGTGGCTGGTAGTAAATTAATTTAGCCGGTATCGCTGGTATATCTATCGCGCAGAGAAAAACATGCCTATTCGATTCAAATGTCAATGGAGGATACGAAGGCGAGCTAGAATCCTTGGTGCATATATAAGTGGTCGCGTGTTAATCTATCTCAATGTGAATATATCCATAAGGTTGCGTTAGGTAACGAGATTAATTTAAACAATTTTCAGTCTAATTAGAAGATAATTTAATAATTTATTAATTATTAAAAATTTTGAGAAGATAAACACGCATGAAGCGAAAGATAAAATTTTAGCGCGCGATTGTCTTTTTGTCTTCGTTCCTCCCTACGCGTTCTTAGAATCTTTAAATTTTATTTCGTTCGACCGATTCGTTTCAGACGATGACACGGGTTTACCGCAAAAACTCACCGAGGTATCAATTCGAAAGTGGTACATCGCACTTAAGATGCCTCCGGCTTGCATTCCGCGAGAGACTGCCGCGTAGGCACGTGTGCGGGAAGCACGTCTCTTCGTCCTTTTCTCCGCCCATCTTTATCTCTCTCGCTCTTACGCTCTCTCGCTCTTTCGCGTGCGCTCCACGCGTGTGGGAACTAGCGTGCGTGTTCGTCCAGGTAGCTACACGCGGCAGGCGGTGTTGGTGCCGCGACTCGCGTCCGTGTGTTGGCGAAGCTTGGACATGGATAAGATGTGGGTCGGTCGCTAGCTTCGCTCTAAGCGGAGAGTCGCATACCACGAGAGCTTCGTGCGTCCCTTACCACGTTTACATATGATAGAAGCGCCTTTGCGCGACACCGCGCGCAAGTAATGCCAGTGGAGAAACTGTGAGATGGAAAAGAAGAGACAGAGAGAAGAAAGAGAGAGGGGGGGAGAGAGAGAGAGAGAGAGAGAGAGAGAGAGAGAGACGGCTAAGGACCGCGCCCTGCCCACGCGCAAACGTCGACTGCTCGACCTCGCGCTTTCAAACACTTCGTCTCGCTTCGCGTAGATGAGCTACATACCTAATTACCGGAGAATACACGGAAGCCCCTCCCCCTAATTTGAACGTTCTCTCCCTTGTACTAGCAACCACGTGAAACGTCAAAATACAGCAGCGTTTTCACTCACCCGTGTGTATTCGCTGATGGGCCTTCAGGTGCGAACTCTTTGTGTAGACTTTCGTACAACCTGCAAAAGAGAACAAGAAATTAGGTCGAAGATCAAAGTTAAGAGTACGATTGAAACGATAAAGTTAAAATCTTATACGATGTTTGTAAAGTGCTTTATTGACATATGGGAGTTTCGGTATATGTTTTATTTTATCAAAATACAAGTTAAAGATGCTATCAAATTAATAGCTGACACAGTGATAAAAATATATTTGTTGCTCCGATCCACAAATATTGTCGAATTTCATAAATCAATCATTTTAGTTTAACATTTAATTCAATGTTGTACAGACACTAAATAAGTCAATGTATAGTTTTTCTTTCAATTCTTCTAAAAAAAAAAGCGTAGCATCGAATTAAAAACTAAAGACTCCTATTTTATAACTCTTAACGACATCGATACTGTTATTACAAAATAAGGACCTAACAATAAATTGTCTAAGGATTCAAGTCTATATACTTACCTATGAAGTCGCAGTGGTGCACCCGGCGTTTTTCCAACTCTGGGTTATTCCGCCTGTTGAATTTGTTCGACATCGACTGCGATTGGATCCTGTGGGCCGGATTCAGGATCGGACCTGGCTGGGGATACGGGGGTGGCGGTGTCCGCCTAGGTGGACCGGCGCCGATGGGTGAGCTGGGATCGGAGATCGGTGGCGTCAGCGGCGAAATATACATCAGTCTCGTCATCGAGCCATAGAGCGGCGATGTCGCGTTGCCGCTCGGTTGATGATGACTGGTCGTTGACGAATCACTATTGCTACCGCCGTTGTTGTTGCTGTTGTTGTTGCTGTTGGCGCCATTGCCGTTATCGTTATTGCTACCGGCATTACTCCCGCTCGTGTTATTACTATTAACAGTCCTGCTGTTGTTATTGTTATTATTATTGTTGTTGCTGTTGGGAAAGCTCTTGAACGTTGTCGTCGTCGTCGTCCGATGGTGTACGACGTGCTGAACACTAGAGGGATTTGGAAAGGGATTCTGTGAGGGGTTTGTGGCCGGTCCCTCGAGGAGATGCAAGGTCGGCGGTGGCGGTAACGGTTCCGTCTTGATCTCCACCGGGGAGAGAACTGGCGGCGGTGTCACGTCGTCAGTCTCCATTTTTATGTGAGACTGCGAGCCCAACATATCCGCGTTTTCCGGATCCAACTTTTGGATACTCGACGTGATATCCTCCCAGAGCGGCGGCCTGAGGAAGACGTCGTCGTCCTGACCGGCGCCGGCCGGCTGACTCCTGGAGGAAACGAAACTGGCCTGCGGTGGTCGGCACACCGCCGTAGGTCCGCCGACCTCGAAGAAGTCCTCCATGTGTACAGACGGTTCCCGCGCATCCCTCGCGTCCGATTCATCCTCGTCCAACCTCTGCAGACGATCGAGATCCTGCCTGCACAGCAAAGTGTCCAGGTCCGACGTCTGCTAAGAACAAGAAGAAACATGACTCGTTTATTTAGTTAATATTTTTTTCAATTTTAACTTAAATTATTATAAAGATTTCATTCACATTATCTAATTAAATCATTCCCTTATCTCAAAAGTGACTGAAAAAATGTGATTTTTTAGTTAAAAGTTTAAAGTTTTCTACAAGAATGAGAGAGAGAAAGAGACATATTTGAGTCGTATCGTTTTTGTAAATAGAAAAGAAATAAGTCTTCTATATAGAAAACATTTAAAATAGATAATTTTGGTGATCAAAATTTAAAACAAAAATTATTTTATTTTCAATTTAATCATTGCAGTTGATCAAAGTAAATATAAACTGTTGACAATATTTCAAGTTGTGTCACTTTTGATGAATTATTCCGAATTGTTATAATTTTAGAGAATATCAAAATCACAACAAAAGAAAGATTATTTTTAAGGGTTCTGAAACCAAAATAACAAAAATGACATTTGATCATATTTCTAAGAATATATTCTTTATGTCAATATTATTTGATTAGTTAATAATTTCCTTAAGTTGAAAAGTAGTTCTCCCCTTTTCGGATAAACTTAATATTTTTGTCACTTTTGAATTAAGGAAACAATGTTATTGTTTAATATAACGTTACGTTTCGTACGATGTAATCGAATGGATAACTTTTTTCTTTATTTAATCAGCAATCAGATTATCTACGTTTATCGAAACGTTAATATTTTCAGTGCTAATAATAGCAACAGATATACAAAATAAAAAACTCTTTAGCGATAATTTTTTGAGGAAACCTTTCCAAACATACGTTCGAAGCTCTTCTGCTAACAATAATCGACTAAAGTCTCTTTGGTCATTCTAATAACACATAAGATTGTAAAGGGCGCATCTGCCGAGAAGAGAACGAAGGGCGAATGACTTGCGATATGGTGATACGCGCGGCGAAGGTCCCCGGGTCGAGCGTCGTCAACATGCACAACGCTGTCTCGCCCTACGACGTCCAGCACGCGCGAGGAGGAGCGACGGAAGACGGAAAGCGGGATGCCGCGTCATCCTTTGCATGATTTGTACACGAGCAACGCCGCCCTCGCGCCCCATGGTACACCGCTCGCTCGCTCTTCCTCTCTTTTCCTCTCTTGTCACGTTGAGAGACGACGTGAGTGCCACCTCGCTACAGTGCGTTTGGTGTATGACATTCGGAGGATTTCTACAAGGGTCTCTCGGATCGACGCATCACTCGTCGCCGGCGATGTTAGGCGTCGATACTGTTCTCGCGCCGGAAATGCGTGTGGGTATCAAAAGCGAAGCTAGGAGACAGTTACGGCATCGTTTCGATCTTTACGACTTTAACACTTCCGCTGGTATCCCAACTCGTGGCCAAAGCCATGGAAACGTACCGAGTACCTGTCGAAAAAGGATCAAAACATTGGGTTCTTTCCATTTGATGACACAATAAGTGACGTTCTATCTTTGTTATTTACTGAATGTTAAGAAAGACAGAATGATGTTTGCATCATCTTCACTGTTAAAAATGTCATGAAATTTAATGTACTTTTAAGTTACATAAATTAAATTCAATTTTATGACACTAAATTAAATTTAAAGCATAATTATCAATATGGCTCAATCAGAATAAATCAATAGTATAAAGAAAGGGCTACGATCCAGTTATAACATAAAGAATATTTAATAAACTTTCTTACATACATATAAACATTTCGACACCGATCGGGTCATTTTCAATGCAAAACAACAAACAATCCTACACAAAATATCGGAAAATTCAGTCAAATGATAAAGTCCAGTAATGAGTTCGGTTGTATTCGTAACAAGTGGTCCATATGTAAAAATGTCGAAGGAGATCTCATCTCACTTTTTTACAATTCTCCAATCTTACAAATAAATAATAAATTAACATTGCGTTATAGTTTAGATTATCAATACATTTTATAGTAAATTAAATTAAATTACAAATTGAATAAAAAATATATACCTTAAATTGTCTTAATGATGTAAGTTAGACGCCGAGAGGAAAACGCAATTAACAAAGTTATATTAAATAAAAAGTAAGCCATGATACACACTTTGGATTAAATTTAAAGCATCTGCAACTGAGAAAAGTATACATGTACATGAAATTTAGTGTACTTTTCATAAAATTTTACGAAGTTTAGTACATTTTTGATTAAATTTTATGTAGATTTGCATAAAGTTTAATGTAAATAAACGTTAAATTTAAGTTACTTGTAACTTCATTTTCATTGATATCATTAAATATTTTTAATGTACCTGCTTGAAATTTGCTTCCATTACATGTAGGAAGCAAATTTCTTTTTTTTTGTATCATTAAATGGAAAGCACCCATTGTGTGGTCCGAGCTTTAAGATTTCAACCTATATAAAATGTTAAAGTCTCTTTGTCTAAAATTGAAATTATAAAAGGTGAAAGAGATGTCGTTGAATGTTTCAATAGACACTGAAACGTATTGCGAAGAAACATTTATAGATTCCTTGAAAAATATTATGTGGCAAGCTTTCGAGCTTTCGATCAGGTTTTGCTGTTCGCGCGGCTTGTGCAGCCCGCAATGATTTATGAATTATTTACACAATGAATAATTCATCGTCGGAAGATTGGTACACTCGCGACATTCGATCGTACCTGATATGCAATTTGAAAAGGAGCTCGTGTACGCAAGCGAGGTACGATATGCGCGCGAAACATTATACTTAAAAATCCGTATACTTAAATCGTAGCGTACGCGTCATGTTGAACGATAGTGCTTTAATCGCAAAGATTTCACTTTTATAGAAAGAAAAGAATATAAATCAGAAAATCTATTTTCGCGGATAGAAAAGAACGGAGGCAAAACCTTGGAAACTATTCATCAACTCCCTGTAAACGTAAAAAAAAATCATTATAAAATATCGAATAAACAGAGATCTTTTTCGTGGTCCTGCGATCCAAGTTTGAATTCAGAAAAATTATGATGATTTGAAAATGCGACCCAAAAAAGTGTAGACGTCAAATATGATTTGTAATGTAATCAGGCTAGAGATTGAGATTGAGATTGAATTTGATCAATCAAAGCAAAGTTCACTAAACTTAATTGGTTTTAAATTCAAGCCTCTATTCTGTAACTCTTAACAATGATAGTATCATTGTCATTGCGCAGGTATTATACATGATAAAAATGCTGCGCAACAATAATATAACGATACTGTCGTTAAGACTTATAGAATAGGAGCCTCAATCTCTAGTTTAATATGATGAATATAATAGGCTTTCTACAATAAGCTATTACTTAAGTTTGAAGTCTTAAGTCATAAGAAATTGACCAATCACAGCCGAATGTAAGAAGAATAATCGATTATGATTGGTCAATTTCTTATAGCCTAAGACTTAAAGCTTAGGCAATGACTTATTACAGAAAACCCATTAAAAAAATGATAGCTCAAGATTCGTTCGCATCGTGTACGTAAAAATAGTATTCGACGTTCCTGGCTAAATATGAATCTAACAAAATGCATTCAAAATCGAATGGCACCGCCGTACGAAAAACACACACGATATTAAACACAACTGTTGGAGTGAAATGCGTTCGAACGAAAGAAATAACAATTTCGTAATTTTCTTTCTCGAACCATCGAGGCCCGCCGCGGTGGGACCAGCCTCTTTTCCTACGGTCTCTCGTCATCCGTCTCTTTCTCGCGTTGCGATGATAATGATAGTGCGGAGCGCGAGCAAAGTTCGTCCATCCGGCTATTAATGCGCGTAATCATAGAGCCAGGGTCGCCGGTGTTAATAATGCGTTTTCGAATCTGTCGGAGCGAGAACGAACACCCACGCCGCGCCGATACTGCGTCGTCATTATGTAGCGGCGGTTACACGCGTATAGGTTTATGCGTGCGTGCGTGCGTGCGTGCGTGCGTGCGCGTACACTCCCACGCGCGCGAACGCACGCTACGCTAATATCTCCGCTTGATTATTCCAGTTGATCACAAGCTGGTTTGTTGATCGCACACCAGTAACACGACGACGATGACGATCACGGACGGTTGTAATCGTCCTCGGAAAAGGAATGATTTTTTTCTCTCGGCTATAGCGAGTCAATAAATCCAGTTTGTCTTATTCTGGTGAATACAAGATCCATTCTCCTACAAATCGATTAGCATGCAGCCAATGATTCCGGAGTGCAAGAACGTTTCTCGCTACGACTCGTTCATGCTGGTGCTGTATTAATAGGTTCGCGAGAGAACGTGGAAAATCGCGACAAAGCGAGAAAAGTCGAGGAACAGCATGATAATAAGGCATGATAATTGAAAGAGAACGATAGAAGAAAATCAACAAGAAGGAGTAATTAAGAGCCATCGCTTTTAAATACAATTATATAAAAATATAATCATTCGTAGTATTCAATCTCGAAATGAGATATCACTGGAAGATATCCATGCTTCGAAGCAAATCGCGAACACTCTCCCTACATTCTTTTATTTTAATAAAAGAACAGAAATTAGAAATTTGATTAAATACAGTCGTTTATCAGTTTACGTAATATTTGAGCGCCTTCGATACGGCGCTTCCGATAACTCGCGTGAAGCCGGCTCGTACTTCATAATTATCGGGAGCGAATCACCGACTAAATTCTTCGATATAGCAACGCGATAAACGTAATACGGCCAAGATGGAATAAAAGAATCGAAACGACGCGACGCCATACTGCTCGCAATGAGAAAACGCAACGCGCAGAAGCAAGCACAGCTCGCCGAATCAATCTGGGTAGGCCACACCCTCTGACCTAAAGCCTTATTATCACGATAAACGCCCAGGAAAATGTCAGCCATGAAGCCGCCCCGAATTGTCCTCACGCGCGATTCTCGCCGAAACGCTTATCATCGCCGTCGCGACTTCGCGTTCCATATCGCGATCGCGATCACGCTATCCGCTCGAACGAATAAGTTCCGTTCCCGCGAGAAGGTATGACTAGACTCGCAATACGTCCATATTTTTC